ACTTAACAAGAAAACTTATCTTCTTCGTATATATCATTTATCCATACAGCACTCAAACAAGAAAACAAGCCTTGGTTACAACCCATTAAGAACCCCCATAAAAGCACCCTAAGTGGATCATATATCGGTGATGAACTTTAGCAGCATTTCTAACTTTCTGTCTCAACTTTGTCAAGGGAGAGAGACTGATTCACATAACATAATCGAAATAGTCTCTTCTATATATATAGAGTATAGACAACCTTTCAAAGTTCCATCACTTTTTTCCAACCACACCTCTGTTCTCTCTTCTAGAAGCTTCCATCCATTGATGGACACATCATCATTCTCTTTACCCCCCCTCCCTCTCTCTCCATTGGGTGGCGATTGGTGGTGACCTGTGATGTTTGGTTACCTCTCACCAATTCTCTCTCTCTTCTCTAGCCCGTCTTGGAAGGTCACGAAACCTAGTGTCAGGTCCATTACTATAAGGTTTAGGGTTTCCTCTCCCATGGAAGTCCATACCTTGGACTGGAGCATAACCATCTTCCTCATCATACTCATTATTATGTTTCAAAGGCCTACCCATTTCATTCCGTCTAACAAACCCACCCCGCCTATACCCATGATGATGATCCATCACATCAGAAAATCTTCCAGGATGCCCAGATCTGTAATTCTCATTCTGCTTTGTTTTTCTTGAAGAATCATAAAAACTTAACCTCTCCCCAATTGGAGGAGGAGGAGGAGGAGGTGATCTGTTAAAAACAGTAGTTCGTTGTTTGTATTTCACCCATCTGGTATTAGTACTACTACCCGGAGGCGAGTTGTTATCATTATTATTATATCCTCCATCTACTTCTTCAAAACGGAAATCGGGTGATCTCGGCCTTCGAATTCTAGGCGATCTACTACGAGTACATGATCTTGGAGGAGATGTAGAACCAGAATGGTGATGCCCACACAGATGATTCTGATTCTGATTCTCTCTCCTTTCTGTTGGAGAATAGCACCGCCTTTTAAAACTATGTGAATATTCCAACTGTTCATTGTATCCGTCGTTTGCGGGTCCACTGTAACGTACCCTGGGGCCCCCGCCTCTCGGATTATATCTCAAAGATCTTCCCCGGCCCACAAAGTGTGTGTCGCCAGCTGGACGTAATCCCAAACGCGCACGAAAATCATCTTCCTCTTGGTTTCCTACTAATCTGGGTCTGAAAGATTGGCGATACGGAGCACCGGGTCGGATGATGACATCATCGTTTTGACAAACTTCGTTTGTTGTTAAAGTGTCGACATCGCGGAAGAAAGGCAAAGGTGGTTCCCGGTTGTTGTCCCTTCCTGGGGAACGATTCCATGTCGCACCTCCACGGTTACTAGCACGGACATGCGGAGAGTATTTTCTGTTATTACCACCTCGTCTAAAGGATGACGATCTTACTACCCCGGGTTCTCTAGATCTTGAAGCCGAATCATCACCTCCATTGTTTGAACTGTGCACATAGAATGAAAGAAAAATATTAATAAAAAAAAAAGATATTATATTTACTTGGTTCTTGATATATATAGTAGTAGTAGTACCTGTAGTGGCCTTGCATACGGAATCTACTACCCCTGTTAATAAACACATCACGTGCTGTTGTTGTTGTTGTTGGTGTTGATGTTTCTCTTTTATTATACAACTTTATACTTGACATGTCTTTCATCTTGGCAACATTGTAATCCTCAGATCCTGATACATTCATCTTCCATTGATCTGATTCACTTTCATCCTTCATGCTAACTTCTCTTGTATTTGTCTCGTTTGGTTCAGTAGAATTAGATACCTGTTCTGCCAAAACTACACTGGAAATGGAAATTTCATCTGCTCCCTTTTGAGAGGAGGCGATATCAGTGTTGGATCTTATTCTTGAAGAGCTTTCTGGTGCTACACATTGGGAATTGTGTTCATGTTCGTTTTCTCTGTTGTCACCCTCGGATCCAGATCCAGATCCGGATCCTTCCCATGTCTGTATGCTTGATTCCCCCCTCACTTCTCCATCTTCAAATTGAGAATCATATCCCACTGAGAATTCCTCTACATTATCAACCTCACTTCCTTGAATGTCACTAGGAAAATTCTCAATACCATTGTCCACACCCACCTGGCATGCTTCTTTGCTATAACTTACAGATGGTGGAGTTGATGCTGACTTTTCAGGCTTCATTGCCATTTGAAGAGCATCAGAACAAGGTTGACCTTCTTCGTCTTCTGGTAACACTGATGATTGTATGGCAAGAAGTGAACCAATGGTAGACTGGTTTATTGCTTTGTAAGCATCTTGGGGAGTCCTTGGACTCCCTTTGTCAATCAAATTCTCCATGGTCATGCAATTGCTAGTAATTAATCTTTTGACCTTAGTTTTATCATCTTCTTCAAAACTAGTTCCACTTTGATGAACTTCATTTTCTAGAGAGGCAACAGTGACAAGTGATAAATTAAGATTCTCATTCTCGGTTGTTTGTAGTGGAGAAGTAATAGCATGATTCACATTACTCCCTGAAACAACGTTTTCTTCTTCCAAGGGACGTGTGTTTATGGAAGGATTAAAACCCGGGGGTAGAGAATAGTCCAATGAAAAGCCTGTGTTAACAGTCATAGGAAATACAAAATCATTACCATTCTTGTGATTCAGATTCACATGATTTTTGGAGATATCACATGTTGGATGCTCCACTTTGACAATATTAGGAACAGCATTATTGGAAATATCAAGATTTTGAGCATGCAAGGATTTTATATTGTTGACTGTAACATGAGGAGGAGCACTGTGAATAACAGGAAACAACAGTTTGTTGATATTTTTACTGTTTGGTTTGCGTTCTTCTGGTTCTTTTTCATGAATTGTATGAGGTAAACTTCTCAAGTTAGTTAAACTTTTATTGCCTAAGTTTTCAGATGTGCTTCCAGATACCTGTTCTTGCTTACACACTTTAGAATTTCCTTCCTTACAGGTGTTGTTTCCCTCAGGGTATGCTGTGTGTATCTTGTGGTCATATTCTGGTGATTCTTCCCATGCCATTACAGTATTCAAGTCCCAGTTTAATCTCTCATCACAAACAGCAGACTTCTGCCCTTGACTTGTTAACTGATTGTCTAGGGTGGAATTATCCACTCTGGCCTTGTCTGGAGATAAACAATCACCATTTTTAAGTGGAACTGTTGATATATGTAATCCGGTTTCTTTAGCAGAAATATTGGGCAAGTTCACACTGTTTGGTTCAAGTTTTATAGTGGCACGAGGTTCAAGACTCTTTGTCCCATATGAGCCTAAAGATATGCCACAAATATCATCACTAGATTTTGCAAACTTTTCTCCATGCACTTTATTATCAATACTACCATTTTGACATAGGGAAGCCACTGCCAAAGATTCAGCAGATGGGCAACTTGCAGCTGGTTTTGGTTGGATCTCCTGATTTGAAGAATCAAGACATGCTGCAGCAGCACTTTCAGGTACATCTGAGGATGCAGTGTTATGAGGTGGAGATGAAGTTTTAAATACAAATCTCCTTTTCTTAATTGGTAAATGTTCAGCCTTCTCACTAAAGCGACATCCAAGAACAGGGATTTCCAACTGCAGTTCAAGAAAACAGGAAAAATTATGAAATTTTGGAAACTAAAGTTTTTTAGCTAAAAGCATCAACATTAACAAGACATCATCTGAACTAACTGAATTAGGTGAGCTTCACCTTGTCAGATCCGGAGACAGGCATTTCCAACCCTTTTGAAGACATGGTGAGTAGTAGTTCTCCACCAGCTATATGAAATATATCTGAGTTCCACAGCCTCCTTTATGAAGTCCTATAACCCTTTGAGACCTTTTTCCAAGTCAAGTCACAAGTAAGTAGCCGAGTCTGCAGTCCAGAAGAAAAGAACATCCTTCAAAATGTGGCATAACATCAAAAAACTGCTATAATGGTTCATATTAGGTAATTTCAAAGTCCCACACTATTAGATGTGGGATCTTATTGTTCCAATGGGAAGATATATCGAGTATACAGAAGCTGATTAGGCAGTCATATCCTTCAACATGAAAAACATGGAACTTCTAGACATAACCAATTGTTCTAAACCCAATTCATGGAAAAGGATTACAGTGTCAAAATGCATTCAATACAAGGCAGAATAGAGTAGTTACACTTGAGAAGAATTACAAAACCCTAAGAATAAAATACTCAAGAGGGAGAACACTGCACGCTGTTTTGCCCTGTAAATCTGTAACTGTTTCCGCTTGGTTTAACCCTTTGAACTAATATCTAAGGATATTAAATATCACAATTACTGAAACTAGATCATGCTACAGCATTAGTAAAGACAGACGTGTAAATGAACATCCCAGTTGAGCAAGTAGATATAATTTCACAACTTGGCTCCCTGAGAACGTAATTGAAGATCCAGCAAAGCTTCGGTATAACGTCTATGTCATGAACTCGTCGAAATTAACAGATATATAGTAAAACAAAATCTTAACGAAGGCACTCAATGAAGTCTCAGGCACACGGAATTGAAACAGATAAAAACCGAAGCACCGATCTTTCTTCAAACAGAACCATTACCAGTCCCAAACTCGTTCATTTTTCATTCCAACACTTCGAACCGGACAAGCATCAGTTTCTCGAAGCAAATAACTTCCATTTTATTTCGTTTCAGATCTACCAACTGAATCGATCTAATACCATAACCATTCGAATCTCAACCACAACATAAACAGACATACATATGTAATACAAAAAGGTAGGGTTTCGGATACCTGGCGGAAAATCAAAATATACAGATCAAACGAGTCTCGTCAATCCAAACTTTGGCGAACTATTACAATTGGAAAAACAAAATTTTGATCATCAGTGATGCACACAATCGAAGCAAAGAATCGCGCAATCGAGTGGCCTATCGATGAAGGAATGAGGCTTATCGCTGTATATATACAGCGATTATGCTCGTATTCACTAATCACCACGTCATGCTCCATTGTAATATCTTGACGGTTTTGTCCTTGGTTCTTTCTAAAACTACGGTTCACCCTCCCCAACTACTAAAAATTGAATTCCTTCGTCATTAATGATTAGTCAAACGAAATAAATGATCAAAGATCTAGAAAAAGTATCATTGATTGTGAAAATTTCCTAAAATATGCTTTGGTTATATAAATTGTCTTCCACAAGAACATACAATTAAATGTTACGAGACTATAAAATTAATAGCAAATAACCATAATATTATTTATTTATTTTTTCCATAAAATAATTAAAATAAATCATAATAATCAATATTTTAACAATTTACCATTTGCCAAAATCTAGCTGATATGATTTTTTTTGTTACGTGAAAGGTCTAATGATTGTTATGAAGTTTGTATGAGAAAATTATTTTTTTCATAGTTTTCACCAAATAACTTATTTGAAACAAAAAATATATGATTGTTCGATATTCAAATTAAGAGTATAATATGTCAATAAATAGACTTTATTATGAGAAAAAATACAATTAAATTTTTTTAACTAAAACGGAGTTCGTATGCAAAATTATGAAGGATCAAATTTAGTTTTTTCATATTTTACACCGAGTAGCCTACTTTGGAGTTAAAAAAATTATGACTTCCCGTCATCAAAATTTGGAGTCTAATATGTCCATGGATTTCCCTCGTTACAAATAATACGATGAAAAATAATCAACTTAAATGAAGTTTAGTTTTTTCATATTTTACACCGAGTTGCCTACTTTGGATTTAAAAAAATTATGACTTCCCGTCATCAAAATTTGGAGTCTAATATGTCCATGGATTTCCCTCGTTACAAATAATACGATGAAAAATAATCACTTAAATGGAGTTCATATGAAAGACTTTTAAATGTTTGAAGTTGACAAAAAAAATAAGATTTTCGCAAGTTACCATATGTTAAAATTTCAAAGCCAACTACGCAAATCATGACTTTTTTAATCATTTTTCGAATTTTTGGCTATTTTGTGGGGAAAAAAACCTTAAAAAAATTAACTATTATGATTTCTTTAAAAGTAACGGTGTATGTCTCAAAAAATTTAAAATTCTAAGACATAAATCTTAATCTGAATATTAGATCAAGAAGCTCTTACAATTACAGAAGAAACATAAACTAAGTATAATTTTTGACTATGAAAATAAATTAATGTGGGTGCTAAAGCACCTAACGTCTATTAAATATAAATATAAAAAACATTTAATAGCATATCATTGTTTAAATTGAAAAAGCATAAATCAATATGATCTCATTGTTAGAATGTCAATGTCAAAATTGTCTACCCAACAAAAGAATTGAAACGGTGAATTATCACAAAACAAAAAATTGGATTTCTGTTGCAATGTAATACTACAAAAAAATGTTCGATATTAATTATTTACAATCCAAATAATATAATTATACAAAATCGATCCCCTAAGTCATATACACATTAAAATGGCATCTAAAATGTGTTGCTAACCCCAAAACATACTAGTCTAATTACCTCATGACATAAGGTTTATAACACAGTAAATAAAAGGTAATATATTTGTAACATCCTGTTTTGAATCATTTTATAATTCAGGACCGTGATCCAAAGATCGGTTATTATAAGGCTTAGGGCCTTTGGGATAGAGAAAATTAGCCCCTTGGAGTGTGGAAAATATAGATTGGATGACCCGGGAGTTCGTTTTGTGTTTTGGAGCCCAAGAGTATATTGGTAAAGTGTTAGTCCGGGCCTTTTATAGAATTTGGATTTAACTTCGACAAGTTTTAAGCCAAGGAAGAGATGATAGAAGTTTAGAGTTTCTCATTACCTTTCCGTGGATATAAGGATCGTCGAAATCGGGCTTAAACGAAGAAGTTATGGCCTTCGGAAGTTTGAAGGCTTAGAAGCTTAGCATAGTATGTTGGGCGTACTATGCAGGGAGGTCGCGAAAGCCTCATGGAGTACGTTGGGCGTACTAGAATTACGCTAGGCGTACTCCAGTCATACCCAACCCCTAATTCAAGGTTGTTGACCCTATTTAAGCTCCTTAACTTGTGTTCAAACCCCCTTATCTTCATCCTCCACCCCATTAAACCCTAGAAATGAAACCTTAGCCTCCATTGGTGGGGTTCTTGAGTTTTTGGTGTGTTTTCATGTTTTTTGGTGCTCTTTGAAGAAGAAGGAGCTTCTTGGAGAAGTGTGAGATTGCTTGAAGCTTGTGGATACAGGCTTTGTGCACATTAATCTACCTTCTGGAGGTATAAAGCTTCAAACTTTATGGTCTTATGGTATAGATCTAGTTTTGGGTGGGTTTTTCCATGTTTTGGTCCCAATGTTGTTGTTCTTGTGAGTAGAAGCTACTCTAGGACCTTTGAGCCTCATATTTGGTCCTAGTTGAGTTGTTAAGTCATATAAATGTTATCTTAAGGGTTCTTGTTGATGCATGCATGAGTTGGTGTTCTTATATGGATAAAAACAAGGATTTGGTACCATTAAATCGTGCAAAGGAGTAAAGTTGCCAACTTTACGTGTTAAGACATCATTTGGAGGTCAGATAAGTGTATGGATGTTTTGTCTTAACCATTAAGAGCTTATTTCGGATTATTGGACCTCTCATGAGTATGTTGGGCATACTTAGGAGTACATTCAGCGTAATGATGGTTCCGTGCATAACAACTTATACATTGCGCTATGAGGGTGAGTACATGGGGCATACATTTCTGGTACACAGGGCATACTCCCCAGGATGTCAATTTTGGGCCTTTTAGAGTTTGGACCTTGTTGGGCCATTAGACTTCTGTCTTTGGGCCATAGATATACTATGGGCTTTCTTGGAATTAGGTCAATGACGATTTTCAATTAGTAAGATGGGCCATATTGGGCCTTGGGATGCCATTTAGGAAATTAGGCTTTTAAGCAAATGGGTTGGGCCTTGGTTTTGGGCTAAGTAAGAAAAGGGTAAAACGGTCTTTTGTCCTAGATATTGGACAAGTAATTTAGATTCTTGATTATGGGTTGAGGTCCAAATATTACTTGGATATTATTTGATGGTTTTAGCGTGCGGAGATTTTTCGGATCAGCAAACCGAGATTTTCTTTGAGAGATTCAACAGCTTGAGATGAGTTTCCTTCACTCTATTCCTATATCAAATGCACTAATGTTGGGCTATTAGTTTATGATGTAGTATGATGATTTTCTTCATGACAATTGTCAGTTATGTCTATGTTTGCTTGATGACTATGTGATTTCCTTGTTGTGATATTATATGGTAGTGATAGGGGTGAAATAGACTCAGTATCTGATTGAAATAGACCGAAGGGGATTGTAAGCTCCGAGATATGCTTGATAGTATCCAGTTGAAATAAGCTGAATGGGAAAGCAAACACCCAGATATGCTTGATAGTATCCGGTTGAAATGGATCAATGGGGAAGGCAAGCACCCATATATACTTGGTTGTATGTTTGTATAGTATATGGTATGTTGAGGGAACTCACTAAGATTTGTGCTTACAGTTTTCAGTTTATGTTTCAGGTACTTCTAATTCGAATGGTAAGGGATCGGCCTAATCGCACCGCATCACCCTATGATTTCCGCATTTTGAGATTTTGGGAATTGTACTCTGATATTATGTTGCTATGATACACTTTTGACTGATTTGTTATGAGTGTCATACAATTTGAATGAATTTAAAACAATATTTTTATCCGTATTTTTAGGATGTTACAAGTTGGTATTAGAGTCTTGGTTTGAGGGATTCGGGCATACTCTTGGTGTGTCTGAACTCAAGCTGGGGATTTGGTAGATTTTTATGAAATAAATTTTTTATTAAAGGATTTTCTAATAAAAGAAAAGGGGTGTGGTGCATGCAATCAGTCAAGCTCAAGTAAGTTTTCCCAAAATACTCATACATGTTTTATGATATGATTTGAATTGTGAACCTATGAATCGCTTACTAGTTAGGGCTACAAATCTACTCAGGATTTGCATGATAGAATGCTAGGAGAGATGCCTTCATATGCCTATTGTATGAGCATGTAGACTTGCATGCTAGTATTGATAAGTCAGTGATAGGATTGCATGTTTAGGTTATGCGTGTTCCGATTACTCGATGCGCAAATGTTGCTTGCTTTGTGCTTTTAGGAGCTCCATTAACCTCGGGTAACTAGTAAGCGAGTATATTAAGTTACACATTGTTGAGACTAGATAATTTTAGAAGTTTAGGTTTTAACTTTATTGCACAGCTCTTGTTTGAGTCCAACCATTGTAGTGTGATACCTTTCATTCGAAGAATTACTTGGTATGAGCGATAAGTAATTATATTTGTGAGCTTGTTAGAGGATGTTAGGGGGAGTTCCTTATGCAGTTGATGGTAGGGATCAGTATGGCGGTTGCCCCTAGTACATAGATCCTTTTCAGGGTGTTTGGCCCGAGTGGGTCGGGTTGCTTATCGCTTGGATCTTCACGAGTTGTTTAGTTATATCCATAGCACGTTTCACGTCTCTTGGTTGTGGAAATGTTTAGTGGATGGGTTGGCTTGATATGTGATGCCTTGTAGCCTAAGAGGAATTGGATGTTATACTAGATTTGAAATCTTTCTTGGTAGGAAGTGAGATTGAGATGTCCTATGTTTGGTTGTGACTTGGAGTGTTTGTAACCCCTGGTTCCTGGTATGTATTTGATTCTCAATTTATTCTTTATTTTTGTATAGAAACTCGATGAGTCGGAGGCCCCAAACTCGTCGAGTAGAGATGGATTTGGACATAAGTTGTGAAGTCTACTCGACGAGTCGAGGAGCCTCAACTTGACGAGTAGGACTGGCAGAATGAAACCCTATTTTTTAGGGTTTTGAACCCTATTTAATCACCTTAACCCCCATAATATGGCCTCATTTACAACCTCCATTGTCCCAAACCCTAGCCACGAAACCCTAATCCACTTTTGATAGTTTTGAGCCATTTTGTGCATTATTTATGATTTTGAAGAAGAGGATACTTGAAGAAGGAGCAAGGACG